ACTGGGCCAAGGAATAGAAACATCCCTCTGTAGCTACTGATTTCTACAGTATGCAAGGCAATTAGGGAATGACTTTTTCTGGCAATGAAGAACGGGGCAAGAAGAAAAGAGTTAATGGTAAGTAGTATTTTGTTACCTATGCCGTCAGATAAATTGCTTTACAAGTCTCTGATACCCAATAAAATGATCTGTAAATGAATGTTATAAATGTTTAGAGCATTTCTTGGTGTAAATGTAAAAGAACCATAAAGCATTGCCACTTAAGAATACTTCTCATGGAAACTTGTGTAGACTGCCTTATAAGCATATTGTCATGGTGCCTGCTAGTGAGAATAAAATAAAAACAAGTGTTTGTGCACCTCTGCAGGTCTTTGATTTCCTAGAAGTAGAAATATAGATAGATCACAAGAAAGCCTGCCCATTTGGTATTTCTGGCTTGCCAAAACCAAGCAGCACTGGAATTCCAGAATCTCCAGACAAGAGAGGCTTGGAAAAGCACCAAACCGTCATGGGCTTATGTGAACAGAGTTTGAATCCACTCAAGCCTTTGCACTTCACTAGCCATTAGTTGTGAAGATCTCCATATTTGTAGTTTGTAAGATTTTACATTAGCTGGAAGTTGGCATATGCCTAAGAGCTAATAATTCTGAAATTTGGAAAAGAAACTGCTCTCATATATTACTGATTTTCTATTACAAATATCTCTGTCTTCCCACAGATGGATTTGTGTAGGAAATTAAATTAAAATCAATAAAAAACTAGCCAAAATTAATCCATATCCACTGTGAATAGGTTTTATGCACGGAAACGATCAAAGGTATTTTCAGTGTCTAGTCTTCATCCAGCTATGGGGAAGAAGGCTGCTTTTCTACAGGTTTATCCTATAATGAAAAAGTTCAGAACTATTTGTACTTAATACTTTTATGAAACCCAGTTGATTTGGATGTATTATTTCCTAAATAGCAACTTCCAAGCTTTTGACAATAAATCTTGGTATCCTATCAATGAATTAGATTATACAGTGTGTTGATTTTTCCCAAATTTTGTTAGTTTATCATGATGTAAACTTCAGTGAAAGATCCTGTAGGGCTACCCTCTACACCAGTTGGGCACCACATTGACTGGGAGGTGGAACAGCTTTGCAATGTAGCTTTGTACTCCTCCTCTGTACTGCAAAGCAAGGCTCCATTCTAGCCATCAATAAACTAGGACAGGTATGTGGGATCTGTAGGCTACTAGATTTTCACTGACATGATGCTAGTAGTTCAAATCCATGGTATGTAGATGAAGAGGTGCTGTGTCTGCTATTCCAGCCCAGCAAGGGTAACAGCTACAGAGGCACTACGTGGCAGCCCTGAAGCACACCTGCCCACAGGTTGGTGGGAAGGTCTTTACCCGCCCAACCCTTGCAAAAAGTCAGATCATGTAGCCTGTATGTGGGAGGAAGTGAATTTCACCCATAGGAAGCTTCATGGTAGTAAATTTCTGCCACAACTTTAGAAATGTGTGGGAAAGAGTTCTCCTGAAGCACCCCTAAAATACTTGATTGAAAATGCCAGTACATGGGGATTTGTTGTTTTCAGTTAATTTGGCAGTTGAATCTCTTTTCTTCCTTCAGGAAAAAGGGGGTGATTAGCATATTGGCTGTTCAGTTGACTGAGCCCTTTGTTTAAAAATAAAAATTAATAATAAGCCAAGAAACTCAGATTTATAATGCAACTTTTAGATAGGAGTATTACTAAGCAGTTAGCATTCTAGAGTAGGGATGGATTTATTGCCATGATCTCAATGGCCTCATTTACTTTTTGTATGCAGAAAAAAAAAAAAGTCAGATGAGGAATTTGACCAAAACATGACAAAATTAAGGGCATTTAGCATTAAGTTAGTGACCATCACAGTGAAAACAGAATGCAGTTTTCAGTTACACCGAGAACACAGATTCCCAATGAAAATCAGTATATTGCCAGTTTACTAAGCTTGTACTGAGAAAAAAACAAATGTATGAGAAGTGCATGTCCATGTCTAAAGGTTCACTGTTGATATATAATTCACAATTTTCTAAAGCACCTCAGTGATGTAAGAGCACAAGTCCAATGGAAAGTCAATGGGATTTGGGATCCTAAATCCCTTAAGTGCTTTTCCAAATTCTTCCCAATACATTTAAAATCAGTTCCTAAGAGATCTACCTCCTGCTTAGTGTGGGGCCAACTCTACTGGAGCTCCATTGTGCTCGGTGCTGAGCACTCTAGCCCTGACCTTGCAAAGTGCTTAACTTTAAGCATGTGAGTAGTCCCCCTAGACTTCAACGGAAAATCAAGATTGAAAAATTTCTAGGATCTTTGCGATTTTATTGGTCTGTTCTAAGGTTGCTATTGTATAGATAAACATCTCTATTACTCATGAAGTGTTTTAAAAGGTTTTCAGCTTATGACAGGCAGGGTTACTAAACCTGCAGTATTCTACCTCATCGTATATTTCTGTGCAGGGTCATAGAAGTTGCCAGTTTTGAGTAAAAATTCTTTTTATCTCTACTACTTCTGTTTTCCTCCAACCCACTTAAGTACTGGTTAAACAACAACACTATGTAAGTTTCTTTAGCTAGCTGTTCACACCTTTTGCTGGGAATAACCCCCTCTCACCCATGCTTCTGAAACTAGAGGTTGGTCGCTGAGTTAGTATCCAAATTAATCCAGTGTGTCTTAAGTACCTTCCCATTGCTTATTTTTTCATCCATTTTATGTTCTGATCTATTAAACAGATTTTAGTCTCAAAACCACACAACCCTTGACCATAACCATTATTAACCATATTCTCCCATTCCTTCCAGCATGCAAGTCATTCAGCTGACCAATGAAGACCGTCTGGATAAGAGAGTCTGAAGATAACTGAGTCACCACTCGTATTCCTGTAAGTACTCTCTGTTGTGCTGTACTTGGGTGTTCCTAATGCAACCTACAGAGACATGTCCATGTCACTGATTTATGTAAAGAGTAGCGTGTACTTCTCGTGGGTGGCAAGGCCACCAATAAAAGGAGGACTATAAAAATGAAAAAACAGGGATCTGGGTCAGAAACGACAACATTTGAAGTCAAGTGTAGGCCTAAATCTAGGTCCAATCCTGCCTTATGTTTAAGTGCTTCCTGTGAGATGCTGAACACTTCCAACTACCACTAACCTAGCCAAGGGCACTCAGCACCTTTCCAGAGATGCTCATCGCCTTGCAGGATTGGGTCCTCTCAGAAATGTGATCAGCCCAGTTAATATTTGATCTCAGGTAGTCTACAGGGGATTGGACACCTTATCTGCTGTTATGTTATGTAATCACTCTCAGATAGCTGTGTCAATGAGCACTCATACACAATCCAAAACAAGTTAGCAGAACCCAGCAATTTAAGAGCAGGAGGCCATGAGACAACTAATGGCATTTACAGAAATTGCAAACGTAAGTCAGCTAGTACAACAAATGGCATTTATTTAATGAATTATTTTTACAAACAATTAGTCCATAATCTAGACCAGAAACAAGAGCGGGAAAAAGATATATACTCCAACACATCAGCTGCTTTTTCCAGCAGCCTGATTTATAGAACCAAACTGAGTGAGTGAAATTAGTGAGTGGAATTCATTTACTATTGAGCGGTACATTAAATAAATTATAAATACTAATACAGGCATTAGAACTATTATAAATGGTTAAACAGAATGTAGTGTGAATGTAGAGGCTTGTCTTAGGTCCACAACATTTGTCAGTGTTCTGCTGGTTCCCAATTCTTACTGAACATTTTCCAGGAATGTACTTAGCATGTGACCTTTACGTGGCTGCACAGTTTCCCCAACTGTTTTCATAGCTCATAAAGTGTTTAGGAAGTGTTTATAAAAATTGCTCAAGGAAACTGTGCCACAAAGAACTTGAGCTTCATGGGTCTCAGTGGTGCAGCTTTGATTTAGTTCTCTAAGAAGGGATTTTGTATTGTAAATGCCCTAGTAACATCTGCATACAGCTCCTCCTGGGATAGCACTGAGACACTCAGGTTTAATGTGTGTTATTTGGCTGAGATTCTTCGACATGTGATGGTTGACTTACCTCCCTCATGAAATCACACATGCAAGTGTTTCTCCTCTTCACTTATTGATGGACACTTTCAGTTATCTGACTGTGATGGGAAGAGATTATGTCATAAATACCATAGCAGAATCCACAAAGAATCCTTTGGAATGCAACATATGAATTATCAAACCCAAAGTGTACTCCTGGATCCAAAGTCCCTGACTTATGGTACTTGACCTATTGACCTGTGAGTAGTCAGATACCTTCTCACGTATGCTCTAGCAGTTTATTTGGAGAGATGTAGCCAGAGGAGTGTTACAAACAAGTTCTCACTATATAGCTCTCCAGAGAATACTTGGATGGAGTAAGAATGATAATGTTTCTAAGAAACAATGGTTAGCTAAACTTAATTAACCAAGCCAAATTTATCACTAGTGTGGAGGAATTCTTTCGCTTGACCACAGAAATAGAATTGATTTTAACTGTACATTAACTTCCAAATTATCATCACCCAAATCAACTGAGATTCAACAAAATTAATATAAAATAACCAAATTTTCACAATATCTTCCCTTGTTTATAACCTCAGAATATTACTTCTATTGTTAGTTTAACTGTAAGTCCTCAAATGCAGGACTGTCCAAATACCAATCCTTTCTAATTTCTGGTACTGATCAGAGGGGCATAGTAACAGAACGGGATAACTCTTCTCCCAGCCTACATTTGGGCTAAATAGTTTAGTCTCCTGTGAGCTGTAATACTTTGGTCTAATATTGGGCTTAGTGTTCAGGTGCTGGTGTTGGCTTGTGGGATGCAGGAGGTCAGACTAGATGATCTGGCGGTCCCTTCTGGTCTTAACCTCTAGAACAGGGATCGGCAACCTTTGGCATGTGGCTCGCCAGAGTAAGCACCTTGGCGGGACGGGCCGGTTTGTTTACCTGCCGTGTCCACAGGTTCGGCCGATCGTGACTCCCACTGTTTGCGGTTCGCCGCTCCAGGCCAATGGGGGCTGCGGGAGGTGGCACAGGCCGAGGGATGTGCCGGTCTGAGAACCCCTGAATTACAAGAACCTGATTGTGTGACTTTGTTAATTAAGTACCTATTATGGAGAAAATAATTGAGTCATTATCCAAAAGGAACAAGTATGCGACACTTCTCAGAATTCATTTCATCATGAACACCAGCTGGAACTGCAGTTACTCATTTTCCAGTTGTAGTTTGGTCATTTCCTTTAAATTTGCTGTGATGCTGGCAGGCCAGGTGTCAGCTCAAGCCAATGGCCCAGTGCGTCACTGAATACTGACAAATGCACAGCTGGAAACCAGTCTGGCTTACCTGTAGGGTTTGTATAGTTAAAATAGATATTAGTATTATAACAATATATATAGATATTAAAAATGCTTGTTGGATGCTTCATGTATTAATCCTACTTATAATATCTGTATCCCATGGTATAAAGTTATATTGAATGTTTGCATGTAAATCTCTAATTGTGTGATTACCACATTTAATGCATCTTTTCCTGTTTGGTGAAAGTGCTCATCCTGCAAAAGAGGCATCGTGTAGCATCAAAGGACAGGAACCTTATAGACTGCATTCCTACCTCCCTCAAGGAAGGGGAGACTTGTGCATGAACTCATCCCTTCAGCTTGGATTCTGGGCTGAAGGGGATAAAAATCCCTGACAAGGAGAAACTGGGACCTTTATACTGTCTGGACTCTGAGGGGCAAAGATGCCTAAACATAAGCAAGAGATTCCCATGCTGCTTTGCACAGGTCCGCCTTAAAGGATGTATAGAGTTAATTATAGCAGCTTATATTACCTTATAAATCTCTGACTGTAACTCATTTGTGTTTCCTGTTTTAACTTTGTAAATAACATTTATTTTTGTAGTTAAAACTAACTAAAGATTTATTACAGGTATTGTTTGGTTTGATGTGAATACAGTTGACCTGCAGTAAGTGACTGGTTCTTTAGCAGTAAATTGAGTATTGCAATTTTTTTGGTGTAAGTGACCATCTATTTATATAGTCCAGCTTGCCTGGGTGTCAAGATAAACAGTCCCTTGGGCATTCTAGTCTAACTCCATCGTAAGACAGAGTGCTTTAGGAGTTGAGTTCCAGTAACACAAAATGGGCTCCCTTCTGGTTTGAAAAAGGAAGACGGTTAATGGTCTTTGTTATGTCTTTTGGTATTACCAGCATAGGTGGTGGCCAGCTTTCAGGTCAGTTCTCTAAATTTTCCATTCAGGTGGTGGTGGCTTGAGGAAGTGAACTGCTGAAGCTATCCTAGCATTTTTATCCTGTTTTAGGTAGAAAAAATGTGTATTACGTCTCCTTCCAGGATAAGGTTTCTGATGAATCAGTGGAGGAACTGAGCTTACGCTCTTCAGTCAGAAACGATTATGCCTGCATGTCATCTGGGAGTCATTTTTTTTTTCATGTCAGTTTGAGTTCATTTTTCAATCTTGTATTTCTGGCCGTCTGCAATATGTTTGTATTGTTTAGCCCAATCACTAGTTTATTTCTTTTTTTACTTTCTCACATTATTTCCCCTCCACCCCAGATCAAGAGTATAACCATGGCTGATCTGATAAATATGATATTGTAATATTCTGCCTTCGCTCCTCTCTTTATTAGACGGACCTGCTCAAATGTTTATCATTTCCTGGTTGTGCCACCCTCTAGTGGCTGGCCAAAAGATAAATAAAAGCCCTGCTCTTGTGGAGAGCGAGATTTTCCTTAATCTCAAGTGACAGAGATTTGAATTGAGCTAAAGTTTGAGACTTTTCTATTATGTATGCTGACTGTGGGTCAGTGGTCATGCATTATAATACTGTAACATATCCTGAAAATAAACTTCAAAATCTTTAGCCTAACAGACCAGTTCTTGTGCCCCTAAGGAAAGAATGGCCAACACACCCTTATTTATAGTTGCAGCATTGTAAATTTCAAAACAATTTATACTTTGTTGCTAGAGAGAGATTAGGTATAAAAACATGAGAACACCTATTGTTATGAAAGGGGAAAATATTTTTCCCCTCAGAACACTAAAAAGCTATCAGGATCAGTTCAACTCTTTGAATAAATTACTATCATTTCCTTGTAAATGAAGAGCCAGATTTTGTAAAGCTAGTCTCTATTTTCACACCAGTAAACTGCAAATCACAAATAAGTGCAATTGCAGTTTTGTGCCTGCATCTATTTGATATCAAAGTGATGTTAATTTCAGCCACAAAGTACTTGATTCAAGTGGGCAATAAGAAGCTAGAAATACAAGTGACCTTAACTGAGTGCACAAAGGGTTTCAGATGAAAAGAGGCCCAGTTATGTCTGAGCTAAGAATGTGCACCCTGCTATAATACACAAAGCAGAACATGAGAACCTCAGTTAAAACCAGATAATGCCTGGGGTTCAAGGTGTCCTTAGGCCCCAGCACCAGGTACCCATATTGCATAAGGTTGGAGAGGAGAGCAACCACCATGGAACCTATGTCTCACCTCACACATAGACTGGGTGGAACCTTGGCTCTGCTCCTCAATGGAGAACGTACTCCAAACCAGGTGTAGGGTGGGCACAGGGTTCATCCTGTCTGGAGTAGAAAGGCAGCTGGGAGGTAGATTGACAACAGGGCCTTTAATTTCTGCTAGGTGCAAAGCAAAGCTTGCAACACTGACTTCTTTTGTCCTCTACAGTGATAGTACCTTCACTGTCTTCAAGAGATCATCCTTGGTGGAAGCTCAAGTACATTTATTCAGCATCTTTCTTCTAGTGCCACCTCCTTGCTTTCTTCCTGATTCTGCTTCCAGAATGAACTGTGGTGGAAGGAGGTCTTCTCTTTCCTGCTCTCACCTATATTAAAAGGCAGAGTACCTGTCAGTCACTTTGATAATCAACACAATTATTTTGTGTTCAAAAGCACAAATTAGTATTCAAGAATACTGAAAACAAATAAATACCACAGTTTTAAAACAGAATTCATATAAACTATTTTAGCACCTAAGCCTGAAGTTCTTAGTCAGGAACAACGCCCATTAGAATGATAGAGTAAGTGTATCCTTTGCCCATCTTGGGGGGGGGGGGGGAAGCTCTCCTCTCTCCCCCCCCAATCCCCTCGAGTACTGCCTCAAATGTTCAGCACTCTTATTGAGGTTGACCAAATCTCAGTTGACCATTGCCACCTTATAGCTCCTTGTTCATTTCTTTTTATAATCTGACTAAAAATCTTTACTATAATAAAAATACCACTCTCATATTTCAAATGAAGTTCTTTTAAGGTAGGTTCTCTTGTAGGAGTCAGTTTTGCTACTGCTTACTCAAAGTAGTATTGAGCTCCATCAAAACAGTTAACTCTTCAATTCCAGGCCAACATGAGCATTGGGTGGGTAGGAAATATAAATGTATGTATTCAACTAAATGGGGTTAATTCCTTCTTTGCTAAATTAAGCTTAAGTCCTTCAACTATTGCCAAACAGAAATGAGACTGTGGCAGCTAGCACCAGCCATTATTAGATCCGGAGACAATTCGCCAAGGAAAGGATCCAGAAACGTCCTTTTATCTGTGTCCCCTTTAGTCAGAAGCGGGGGTGAGGGAGGCTCCTCATGTCCATACAGGACATGTGCAGGTAACTTTTCTCCTTACTCCACAGGTCAGCTGTCCATTTGCACAAGCATTTCCTCCAATAAAAATGTATCTGTTCAAACATTTAGATAAGTCTGCCTTCCTTAAAATAGGCATTTAACACACAAACTAATAAAGCAAAAGTGGTAATATGCACTTCCTTCTATTGTCTCAAGTTGCAGTGGGGGAGGTCTAGATTGGATATTAGGAAACACTATTTCACTGAGAGGGTAGTGAAGCACTGGAATGGGTTACCTAGGGAGGTGGTGGAATCTTTTTTGGCCCAACTTGACACAGTCCTGGCTGGGATGATTTAGTTGCAGTTGGACTAGATGACCTCCTGAGGTCTCTTCCAACCCTAATCTTCTATGAAACTAATGCAGTGATAAAATGAGAGCAACACTCCAATACACTATAGCTTTCTTCTAAAGGTATCAGATGTTCAAATCAGGAAAAGTATTTAAAACAAGTAGACCGATTAGGATTTTTATCTATGGACAATCTAATTCACAGAGGAATTCATAAAGTTAGAGGGAACAGTGCATGCTCTACTCTAATCAAAGTTTGTATAAAATGTCAGTGCCACCACCCAGAAAAGAAAAAATTCTGTAAACACAAGAGAAGCTCTGATGAATTCAGGCTACGATCAGTCTATTTAGTATGAAAAGAGGCCAGATTCTGTAGTGTTTCTTCACTCTATTCTTAAGGCTGCCCTGGTCTTCAGCAAACCCTGAATAGGGGAGGCATAAGCCACTTCTCCTCAGCCCCTGTGCTGGCACCAGCACTGAACACCATGCATCTGCCCCTGAGCCTTTTGAAAGAGTGAACATAAAAAAGCATTGTGAAGGGTGTTGCAAGATCGTAACAAGGTAAAGTATGGAGCACATGAATTCAGGAGGGCTGTTATCAAGACTGCTATTTGTACTGACTTCTGCCCTCCCATTTGAACTGTCCTGACAACAATAGTTATTCTGGATTTACACGGGTGTAAATGAGAGCAGAATTTAGCCCAAGATGTTTACCGACATTCTTCTGAGTTTATAGAAACATCCATTTTATTCTTCTCAAACTGAAACAATCAGAGCTGCCAAGCTGATGATTTCAACATTCATCTAACCTTGATATGAAACACAACAGTTACTTCTTCCCTAAGGACTATCAAAAGGCTAATAAAGTAACTACCTAGTATTAGCTTGAAGTCCTTGGACAACAGTAAAAAGTGTAACATTTTGGATGAAAACATCCCAGGATTTTATGATTTGAACACATTTCCAAAAAAAAAAAAAAAAATAGTGACTCAAAAAAGCTATATAATGGGACTTAATATCAATCCTGCCTAAAAAGCATCAGAACAGATACTGAAAGACAAAAAGCAAAATAAATTGCAAGGAGTTTTCCCAAGAATCTATTTCACTGCTGCAACGGATGGTTATTCTGCTATACAAGTGTTCAGTGCTCTCAACAATCTAACAAAATCATACTTATTATGCCTTATTAATGATTATACAGGAGAATCTATAGGACTCCCTCCACTCTTATACAACACTGACTCTCAGTCCTATTAGCGAGCATGGTTGGATTATGCCCTTGTGTGCTCTCCAGCTCAGGTGGAGCTAGAGATTTGAAAAAGGCACATTGTGCTCCTGATCTCAGTCTACCCATAAGTTCCCAGGATGACAAGCTAGTGCTCCCTCTATGATCACTCGTGTGCGTGTGATTGTATTACACATGGGTGCAGTTACTGTAGATATAGATCTCCAGCTGCGTTTTAATAAAAGGCCAGATGATTTTTTTTTTAAAGTTGCCAGTCGCCTTAAGAAATAGTGGCCCCAGGAAATAAAAGAAAGTGGTACACCGTTAAACCCTCCCACATTTCAAATTTAGAAGTAATGTAATGGTGGATCTGATCCCATTGAAGATGACTGCATACTACTCACAGATTTTGAGATGGTGGGGGTCTCCTATCACAGAGATCTGTAAGATTTTAAAAAAAATAAAATAAAATAACCACCTTAAAGCAGCCAGTTTTATGTTCAGAACCGAAACCTAACACTATTATCGACAAGTGGCCATTTTGATTTCTTTAAATGAAGTATGCAGGACTGAATGTACTCAGCCTGATATCCTCTCTAATGCTTGAAGTAACTCCCAGAATACAGTGGCCCCATGAACAGAAGGTCCATCTGCAAAAGTTGCCGGCAAACCCTACTCTGCTAGGGGCTCAGAGAGCCAGTTAGGCCATCCCCGAAAGTCAACAGAGAGGGGCATTGCCAGGGGATGCACTCATTCAGGTATTTTGCTTTGTTTTTTCTGTTGAAGCTATGACTCAGTTTAAAACACTGTCCACCCACTCTCCAGGGAAATTCCTGTCTTGGGCAAAACAGCTTTGTGTGAGGATGAATCAAGACGTGTGTCATTACTTCTGTGTGTGTAGTTGTTTTGGTTTGTTCTTTGCATTTGTCACAAACCTAATTAAATAAGCCTTAAAATATGCCTGCCATGATATACAACAGCCCTGCCTTGAATATCACATGCTCTTCGCTGAACCAGAATGGGGAAAAAATTATAACAAAAAATTGGAATGCAGTACTTTCTGTAGGAAATAAAATTCTCTCTCCCTCCCCACACCCTACCCCTTCCTACACTCCTATGGCATGCAAGAAACCATCAGAACAGCTGCTTAGAGTGGTATTGATGGGGAGAAGATGGGTCTCTGAGGAGTTAGAACTTCATATCCAGTTCCTAGAATGTTGCCAGGCTGTAGAACATATTGTGACATTTCTGTTTGATTCCATGTTTACATAAATTCCTTTTCTTTCTTGCCTTATAATCAATGAAACCTGACCATCAAGAGGAAAATAGTCTCGGAGAAACTAGTTTGTTAGGCTTTTTTTTTGGCACGCCAGCTAACCACTCCATTAAGCTTATGAACTGTACTAGTTTATGACACCTTGCTTGCCCCTACTAAAGGTAAAGGATTGAGTAACTACAGTCACCGTTTTGTGTGCTAATGGCAGTTTAGGGCACTGTTTATTTAAAACAATGCTGAGGGAAGTCACTCTTGTAAGAGGAGAAAACAAAACCATCGTTTAACATCCACAAACAACTGAAAATAGTGCTCCTCAAAATGATAAAAACTATACAAGAGATTATGACATGACTTTAATCTTAAACTCCTGTTTTCACATGTTTAGAAGTTTGTGAAAATTCTCCTTAGAATCTAAAATTGTCCATGCTTCATCTCAGTTGAATTATTTAGGAAAGCTTAAGGAAAATCCCAACCAGACATCTTTGAACTGGTCTAGAGTGAGAGGAAAAAATAAAGAAAACCAAATAAATATTGTTTCAGCACTGAAAGAGGGTTTTGTTTTTGTTTTTGTTTTTTTGCTCAACAGTAACTCAGAAGGACTGGACAAATTTCCTTTGCACGTACATAGTCTGTCAGGCTTCTTCCGCAAACAGCTGAAGCACTAGAACACAAAGGCCACGCAAGTATTGTATATATATTTATAATAGTAAAGATTCCCCCTCTTTTTTAGATAATGGCTGACCCATTTTTTGCAAAAACTTTCAAAAAATTCACCCTGAGGCACAAACCACACCTGAATATTTTCAGCTCAAAAGGGTGGCAGTTTGTCAAAGTTATAGCTAACTGAAAAAAAATGCAACCTACTGTATTTACTTAGGCCTTTAGGATTATGTCAGATATCCTTAATAGGTCCAACCAATGCTCGGATATCTGCCAAAATCCAAAACCAATTCACACAGTTGTTGCCCCTCTGTTTAACCTGTTGTATTTACACATATACATCTGGCTGGGATCTCTTCTGTTCCAGCATGGTACACAGGGAGAATTCTCCTTCCAGGAGTAATGGTTGATTCCCAAGGAGCAACTCTGCCTCAATAATTTATTCTCATTAGGGAGATTAAAGCAGAGACAACTCCCTTACTGCTCGCCAGAGCTTCCCCAAAGAAATTGTAATAGAAAACTAACTCCACAGCATTTTCTTCCAAAAATAAAAACATGCTTGCACAATCAGAAAAAGAACTCGCAAGACTAGGGGGAAACAGCATTATTTGAACATAGCACAGGGCACAGTTTAATTCAACAACAAAGTTCACGAAATGGTGAAACACTTGCTTATGCAGCCCTTAGTAGACATGGAAAACCAAGATGTCACTTTTAAGATTGAACTTCCTTTTATATCATCTGATTATTAAACTGAAAATTTCTCTTGTAGCCCTTACAAATAATGACAACTTATTTGCCACACATACCGGTATGTTTATTATGAATAATCAATCACAGATTCTTTCCCCAAATGGGCTGTACACAAGTTTCCCTTAAACTTCTCTCTTTCTCTCTGAGATTGAAGTGATTGGTGGTAGAGCAGTATAGATTCAACAATAACCTTACAAAGATGTACTACCTATAATCATTAAACAGCGTAAATCTAACCAAATAAGAAACCTATGCACCAAATAGGGCCTGGCTAATAAACACATTTCATACTTACACTCGAATAGACGAGCAAAATACAGGGGTGAAACAGTAGTAAGTGGAGAAACTCCGAAGGCCCCAGATCCAGTTGACATCAGTTCAGAGCCGGAGAGAAAGCAAGAAAAGGGAACTAGGCATGGTGTCTTATACCCCACATTATGCAGATATCACAGATGTATATCCATATTTGTTCTAGTACCGAATCATCATAATGCCTGCCCCTATTCCATCTGTGGCATTCTGTGTCCATAATTAACACTTGTGTCAATCTTTTCTCAATCTTTCCCTAATAATTCCTGTGCATGTCAGTGTAGTCTAACTACTTACCTATTGCCTAGCAACCTAACTGCAACCCCCCACCCTCAAACTCCCCTATTACAGAATTTTACAGTGCATTGTCCCTTCTTTGGTCTCTTATTTACCTTCTCTGAATGAAATTTAAAAATTATGACCTTCTGGACTGTACTAGGTTAGCTAAAACCCAGCCTTTAGCATAAACTCCGATAGGCCTCATACTAATACAACAAATCCTTAACATAGCAAGCCTTATAACCCAATTACTTATGTTCACCAACTTGCCCCCGGTGCTTGTTTCAAACTAATAAGCAAAACATCAAGGTCAGTCATAAACCCCTTATAATATCATTATAGTTACCACAAACAACAAATGCAGGGGAAGCAGGGGAAAGGTCAACACTTGTATGATATAAAAGCTCTGATATTGTCTTGCATGTGCTTTTGCCATTTATAAATTTATGTAGACTGGTGAAAGTCATAGAACACTAATAAAATCAATGATGGCCAGCCTATTGGTATATATTGTATTCTAGGCAATCAAATCAATTTAATTTCCTTCTTTCACAAGAAACCCCAAATAGCTAAACACAGCACACAGGAGACAATTACAAAAGGAGCTCAATGACCTCGGAAATACTTGACTTGTGAGCTTGCTTGTTCTATTTAAAACGAAAAATACTACAGAGGTAGTTTGTTTGGTACCTATGAACCTATCTTAAAAGGAGCCAATCCAGCAGTTCCTCACTAGCAAAATTCCCATGGATTTTTACGGGAGTTCCATACATGGAATGACTAACGGATTTGGTGCTCAATCCAAAACCCATTGAAATCCTATTTTACCATTTACTTCCATGATTATTTTACAAAGCTTTCCAGTTCAGCTACTGTTACGATTATGCACCTGAATCTTCTCCTTCAAATCCTACCAGACTCATTTCTTTTTAGTAAGGCTTACAAACCTGGCCTCTCCTCCACTAGCCTAGTCCTACTGCCTGACGCCCCAGCTCACCAAAGTGTGTAAGCAGTCCCATTGACTTTGAAGCACCTTGCTGACTCAGGGCCTTATGTTGTTCCCACAAACCATAAATTCAGTTACAACAAAGAAAAAACCTAAAACACCCACTAAACCATGAACTTCTATTGATAAAAGAAAAAAGGAACCCACAAAACATGTATATAACAAAAGCATACCGTAAGAATTTTTTACTGCAAGTCTCATTCTTCTAATACTCTGCCCTGCTTTTCTTTGATACCCCTTAGGAGTCTTTGTCTAGATTCTTGCACCATGACTGACAATGAATATTAATTACTCACGTAAGTAGGCACTGAATTCCGTGGAACTGCTTACATGAAATACTACTACTCAGTGTTAGTAAGGGTGCCAGAATTTAGTCCTTCGATTGTAAAACCTTTGGGGCAGGAACCTGTCTTTTATAATTTCAAGCACCTAACACACCTGTGGGGATGGATGTATAGATAGATAGATCCTCAGATCAGAAGAATATGAAATATTCAATTATATGTGGTTTTGAGTGTCATTTCTAAATGCATTTTCTTTAAAAGAAATCCACAGCAAGCAGAAGCAGTTTACATTTCCTGCTGGCTTTCTTTACAGAATAAAAATAGGAAAGAGAATGACTGAATACATCTGTATTTGGCTATCCCACACTGATGACATTACAAAATAACAGAGAAGCACAATGTCAATGTTTTTTAAAAGCTGCCAGGCATTTTATGCAAGCCAATTGGTGGTCAGAAAGTATAGCAGACTTGCTCAATTAGTGGGGCACCCCAACCCACACCTGTAGCTAGATTCAATATCTGTGCATGCTGTATGCTATTGCAGCCCTTCTTTTCTTTTTACCAGGATCTTCCTGGATTTTATACATCATTTCTACTGTGTGAGGCAAACAGGAGATGACTTCCTCTGGCCAACCCGGTAGGAACTGCTAATCTTGTCTCAGCTGGAAGTGACTTTCTGCATACCTTGCAAGCACAGGACCAAATTCTGCTTAGCTTCTCTGGGGCATTCTTGCTAACTTCAGTGGGCTTGCACTGGAGTAACTGAAAACAGAATTTGGCATGAGAGGTCACTGAAGGATCAATTTTATAGCCTACATAATGTACATACTCTATTCTACTTATGTATAAAAAGCTAGGGTTCTTTGGAAACCACGGTTACTAAAAGACGTAAGATTCCCTTCTAACGAACAACAAAGTCCTTGAGTCTTAACATCTCTGTATTGCAGCATATTTCCTTACCTGAACAGTGAATTCCTTTGAATAATATTGAGCTCTGTTGCAGGTGAAATTATACACTCCGGGGATGGCACCATTAAAGTCAACAAGAATTTTGCCATTGACTTCAATTTTACCCCAAGACTATAGCTACTACTAACAGATCCAAAGAACAAGGGACACTATCAACATGAATTTTTTTAATTGAATGATTTTTTTTTAATCAGTTTTCTGATGGAGCAAGCTTTACGTAGCAATTGTATTTCTTTTATTTATTTTAATTAGAGGATTTTCTTCTTCCCTCAATGTTTAAAAAGGTCTTTGGGCGGATCAGAGAATGCTACCACTGACATAGGCTTTCTTTCATTCCCACTGTCTTTTCTCTCTGTGCACATTCCCATTGACTGCTTCCTTAGTTTCACCATTGCTGCTGCAGTCATCATTAAACACCTTCTTGCAGAGTCTCAGGAAGGGTGTGCACTACTGGCAAAACAATGAAACCTTCTATAGACTAGGTTAAAAAAATGAATATTCTACTTTTCTGTTGGTTACTTAATAATAATAATAGCAAAGACAAAATTTCTAAGTGGAATTGTGATTTTCAATTTAATGGTGTCTCTAATTCAGACGGAAGCAAAATGGTGTGTGCTTAGGGATAGTCAAACGTTTTTTGGCCTAATTTGGGATCCACTGTAAAATCATGGATTTGAAACTTCATATTACACTTAGCACACACCTTCAAGGGAGGCGCAGGGAGGAAATATATTCATATAAAATGTATGGAGTCAAATCCTCAGCTGGTATAAATTGTCATAGCTCCATTGAAGTCAGTGGAGGAGATGCCTCATAATGAAAAATGGAACAGAAAGGGAATAAGAGAAAAATAGGAATGAAGAAACAAACACAATAGATGTATTCTGTAAATGTCACCATTAAACGCTTTATCATTTTGCCTTTGCCAGTATATAATGTTAAAGCAACATGCTCTGTGGTATTGATCCTGCAAGGTGTTGAGCAATAAGCAAAGTGTTTAAGTATGTACTTAACTTTATGCATATGAGTAGTCCCCTTGCCTTACTGGATCATGGCCAAAGAGCTCAATAACTTGCAGGGTTGAGCCCCGTATTTATATAAGAAATATTGTGACTACCGTGGGAAACTTAGTTACTTGCAAAGGCATCTGTAAAGATTTTAATGTACTGAGGACACCCAACTGTACATGAATAGGTTTTATGGGGGGAGGCGTCTACTCCTAAAACATTCAACAGATTTTCTCTTAGTTAGAAAAAAGAAAAAGCAACTCAGTCATTACTCAAGGACAAACCCAACAACATAGGTTTGAATTATAGAAGTGGGGAACAGCAGGGGGTGGGGGGGAAATATTTACTTCATGAGCCGAAAAATTACTTTGAGAGGTTCATAACACCTTGAATTCCACAAGGTTTGCCCATCCCTAGAACCAAAGGAATTTTTTTTAAAGCCCCACATGATAAAATGATTTGTACCCTGGGGAAAATGAGCAAATCCAGGTACCTTGTTTGTTTTAGTCTCATCTTGAGTTCCAGTTACAAAATATCAGAGCTCCAGATTAATGTTTTTAACCACTTCCTTTGTACTGAGAACTATGAAATAGCAAATCCAAATGTTTGAACTGTGACCCTCACTCCCAACCCTCAAAGTTCCTTTGCTGATTCATAAATATAAAATATAACAAAATAAAACCCATTATGTTGGGAACTAAATAGTTTACAAGAACTTTTTTTTAAAAACTTCACAATCTGGTTTCAGGCCCACCCCAGGGTCTGAAGAGAATTAAACTTGGTGATTTAAGCTCAGCCCCATAGAGGAGGTTATTCTGCATCACCAAACCAGAACACCTTATTTTGCAGAATTCGACACTTCTCTGCTGTCTCTCTGAATAAGCAAAATAGAACTTGACATGCATGGAAATTAAATTATCTCCTACCCCTAGAGTTGGTCATCTTCCCAGGTCAGGGTTACATGAATGAGGGACTCACATTTCACTGCTTGCACCAGCACTATGACTAGACAGAGATCCTGTCTTTCTTGACTTTTTGACAAGGCTTTAAAAAAAATATAGAGAGAATAACACAGGTTTAAATCAATCCTTAGCTATGGAAGTGTGTTTAAATTGGAAATTTGGTGGTTTTGTTAAAAGAAGAAAACACTGTCACATGGCCCTTCTGAAACATAAGGTTTGCATTGATTCCCATAAACTATAAATAAACATTAGGAAAAACATTATGAAATTTTGGAACACTGCTGGTGGGGCCTGTGAAAGAAGAGACACTGCAAAAGAAAACAAAGACTATTTGTCAGGCATTGCAATCACAAGCAAGCAGAGGACGGATGGTTTTGCAAGCAATCTTATGTTTCACAAATGTTTAAAATGTATGAAAAGCCTAGAGGCACTTTACAAAAAAAAGCAGGGAAACAACCACAGCTATATCATCAGGACCACCATAAAAAATTCTGGGCCCTCAAGAATCTGGAAGTCCAACATAGGCCCCCTTGATTGAATTAATCAGAATTCATGTTTGGTATTAATATATATATTTATAAAATACATATGAGTTCTGTTATATGTAGTTTATTTGTTGGTTTCACTTTTGGATTGCCAAATGCAATCCAGTTGTTGAAAGTGTGTGAATGACAACTTTCTTCCTTGCTGACCAGTAATTTTTGCTTCAGAAACTATTGCTGTGTTTGGTTTCCAATCCCATAGGTACCCTAAGCATATGCTTACCTTTAAAGACATGAGTAGACTTATTAAACTCATGTGCTTAAACCTGGGCACATGTTTAAGAGGCTTGATGATTTGGGGTCTTATGGACTAAGGCACAATAATGATATTACATATATAAAAGCTTTCTTCACTGAATCCTTTGTATATCATTTTAAATTTGACCAGATACAGGTGGCTGCAGCCAATACTGCATCAGGATCTATAGCAAGTGTCATGGTTTCACGCTTCAGAGTTCCCCAGGGAGGTTTAGAACTCCCCTGAGGACTTGCCCTTTGATAAAACTAATCTCTTCAACAAGAAAATGGATGAGTCTTTGCCCTTGTTAAAAGACTTCAGGACAACCCTCACCTTACCGGACATGTATGCTCTGGCCTTGAAGAGGAAGCACCATAAACAGGTATAAAAGTCACGGCGTCTTCCACAGAGTTTCTACCACCAACCACCATACAGACTGCCACACTAGCATCAAAGGGCACAGAGACCAAAGTATGCAGCCTCATGCACTTCAATCTGAATGTCATACACCTGGGAAAGGTTACGTTTGACAGGACACTTGGAAGTTGTGACCTAATAATTATGCCATCCCCGCCTGTTTCTGAAGTCTGTTTTGGTGGCCATCCAGCATTCTGTGCCCACAAGTGGAGACGTATAACAGATATCATCCACTTTGGCTACACCATCAAGTTTCTCTTTCTCCACTGCCTGGGTCTGGCAACAGCACCCCAGGTCTTTATGAAGGTCTTCTTAGTGATGGCAGCACAGATAAGACAAAATGTTTACACCATCTTCCCCTATGTTAAGATTGGCCTTTAACAGGCAAATACCCATCTAGAAGTTCAGTTGGCAACTGGACCTCTTTGCATTCTTGGGAATCTGTGTAAACATGGAAGACTCTATTCTGACTCCCACACAGATCATAGACTTTATAAGAGTGACCTTGAATTCAACCACAGCAAGGCTTACCTCCCTTTGAACAGATTCCATTCCATGAGCAGTCTGATAAATCAAGTCACTCACAAACTCCAAGCTAACGGAGGACAATGGCAAGACCAGACATCCCAACCTGGGCTCTCTTTACCTCATGGGCTGGTATGTGGGCGTGCATCACGCTTTGGCCGTTAATGTTCTGAGGCCAAACAAACTACTCTTAATCACAGCAGGAAACATTCTACTAGAAAGTGTTATCTAGCCAATGGAAGCATTTCCCTATTTGGGTGCAACAGAACCACTTATCATCAGGGTCAGCAGGTATGCCTGATATCTTAAACTACTTCCTCACTCTCAAGATGTCAGGTCTTTCCATTAGCTTGCTGTGGGTCCACTGAGCAGCAATCAATGCATGCCATCCTTCAATAGATAACCATTATATTTTTACTCATTTGGTATCAACCAGATTCCTAAGGGTTTGACTAAGACCTTTCCACCAGTAATGAAGCCAGTGTCACATTGGGACCTCAGTCTCATACTTTCCACATTTACTTGGTCACCGATCTATGAAGGTCACCTTCCTAGTCATCATTACATCAGCCAGAAGGGTGGGTGAGCTGGGGACCCTCATGGCCAACCTGCCATATGCTACATTTCATATTTAAAAAAAATAAAAAAAAAAAAAAGGTAAATCCTTTCACCTCCATCCAAAATTCATCTCAAAAGGTAATTTCAGAGTTCCACATAAATAAATCAATTCATTTACTGGCATTCTTCCCAAAACCTCATGTCTCCAACAAGGAGAGAAGTCTTCTTTCTCTCTACGTCAGACAAACATTGGCATTCTGTCTATCCTAAAACTGTTTAGAAAATCACCTTGAGTATTTGTTGCTATAGCAGAGTGAGCACAGGGACAAGCAATATCTGTTCAGAAACTCTCAACATGGACTTCTGACTGTGCTCTTCTTTGCTGACAGTTGGCACAACTCCCTCCCCTGGTTGGACAGTGAGGACCCATTCCACTAGAGCACAATCTTCGAGAAGGACACATGCAGGACATTTGTAAGGTAGCAACCTAGAGTTCCATCCACACTTTCACAAATCATTACACGTTGGTCCAAGTCTCTTCCGCCAAAGCAGTCTTTGAGTCTGTAGTGTTACAGGCATCTATATCACCTGCATCCTCATGCCCGCCCCTCCTTATCTTTCATCTCATTGTCTAACTTCAAATTTTAAAATAATTCTCTCACCCCAGTCCTGCTCTGATTGAAGTCAGAAGGAAAAAACGCCCTTACATTTGGATTGGATTGGATCTTCTGTTCTACAAAACCCCCACATTATTTCTTCAGATTAGCTATCTGGAACCGAATCACATCCTGAAGAGCCTGTGAACCTGAAGAATCTTTCTATTCACTGAAACAAAACAAAACAAAATACAAATTTAAAAAAAAATTGTTGCTTGCAATAAACTGGTGATCAACCATCTGTTTCTCATGGAAAAAAATAGAACTGTGCATTGAACTGACACACACAAGCAAAATTACTGCGGTCTGGATAGATTGATTACATAGTAGAAAAGTAAAGATACCATAATGAAAAGTCACTTCAGATTGCTCTGTGTCTTCAATTAAGATTTTTGGCTTAAGCAGGTGTAATATGATGGCAAGAAAATCACCTGGCCATTCTTTATACCGAGTTCTTTGCCAGGAAGAGAGCATTACACACTAAAACTTCAGGCTTTTAAGGTCAGTTGCAGGACAGGATGTTGGAACCACATTACAGAAAGTACAAAAAGCCTACTCCATTTCCTTGTTCATCATAAGTGGGTTTTGTGAGCCAAGTGTTTTCTGTGTTTTATAGCCAAGGGCATGCTAGAAACAGGGGGTGAGGGGGAGTATACTGCACTTCTATGGAGTTGACAGCCAAAGTGCAGTAGCCTGATACCAGCGGGACTCTTATTAAGAGGGAGCATGTTTCTCTCAGTTAGGATGTTAATTCTTTATTCTGTCTGTTTTCTGTCAAATAAAACATCCTTAACTCTTTAGTAATAAATTACACTAAAACATGTCCTATGGTACCTAGAGGGATAACCATCTGTATTTAAGCTGAGTGATTTTCTTTGTTCTTGGAAGTACCTAAAAGGTTGTTTGTTATGATTTAAAAAAAGATATCAGACCAGTACTAGAATCTTTGTGCTGCTGTGATTTTTGTCACTTATCTCCTCCTCTCCATCCCATATTCCTCTTCCTTAGCCATCCTAGGTTTTTCTATAGCTCCCCTCGCTATAGAATCTCAGCTGTTTCCCTTCAGCTAACAGGTCATGTTACTATTTTCCCATTGGGCAAAACAACTAAAGCTTTGCCTTATTGCCTGTAAATTGTCAAGCACCTTTTAATCCGCTCATCCAGTCCTTCGGTATCCAAACTGTTCTTCCAGTTGTGGGGCCCTCACTAAAGTGATATTATTGGGTGTATTTTTGGGAGTGCTTTGCACTGAATCCAGGATGTTTTTAAGTCATCCAAAATGGTATCTTTGGAAATTGGACTCAGTAGGGCAAATTCTGCACTGAAATACATCTTGTGCAACCCTAATAAAGCCAGGCGGTGTGTACAGTGAGCTCAATTTGGAGCAATTTGTTTTGACATAACTAAAAAGAAAGTTCTCCCATTCTGATCATCCCAGAAGTCTAGTATTTTTTATAGATTTCATGTATGAAATGTCAGACAGCCCTTCTGTGACACTGGGTGTTTCAGGTCAGCTGGGCTTCTTTCACTGGGATGCAAATGGGTTTTGCCTCTCTGATATTATTTCAGCTGGTAAAGGGCATCCAATGAGCTATATCTCCTCCTGATGCTGGAAGACAACTCCGATCTCTTTCCCACAAAATGCACTTATCAGGACTGTTTGCACATACATCGTTTTCTGGACTTGTGGGTGGCATGTCTGGCTCCTGGCTCAGTAACTCCTCCTCCCCTTCTCTGAGCTGGCCATCTCTAATTCTCTACATTTCAGGCATTCAGGTTACCCAAATTTTTGGGATCTTATGGTGCCTTTCTTCTCTATAGCCTTCTAATAGACTCCTTGTTCAGAATTATCAAACCAACATTTTTATTTCAATTTCCCCAGTTGGTGTTTGTGGGTTTCTGTGGAAACTGCTTCTCTTAAGCCCCAAAACAGCAGGTGTGATCCCTAATGCATAAACTAACTTAGTTGGCTTAGTTACTTGCCTAAGCATGTGTACGGAAAATGAACAATTGCAGACTTTTAACTGCCAAGCTATTAAAAATGTGATTGTAGATAGCTCCAGATTAAGCTAAATTTCAATGCTTCAGATTCATTGCCATTTTATAATCCATCCTGCTCCATCAATTTTCTCAACTAGAATATTTGATACCCCAGATAGGTGCCTAGAATATACTAGCGGTGTATGTCACTGTAAATAATCATTTGAGCATAAACAACTTACCTCTTTGGTAAATTTCCTCTCTAGTAGGAAGGAACAATTTTTTTTAAAGTTTATTAGTCCTCCAAAGATTATCATCTGTGCAAAAGTGAAGCTGCTTCATGCAAATGGGATTACTTTTAATATTTCATTTTAACATTCAATGAATGCCTTAAACTGGCATTTTATATGTATTTTTAAAACCAATAAAACCAAAAGTTGTTGTTTTTTCCCCACTAAGATGCTTTTGGGCCATAATACGCCCTCAATTCACTCCTGAGTTTTGACAGTCAGATCCAGGTCTCTTGGGAAAATCTCACTGTTAGGCACTCCCTTATGGAAATTGGGTTTGGGCATCCAGAGGACATATAAGATACTGATGGGTCCTTATTCAGCCAAGCACTTAGGCATGTAAGTAGTCTACGGGGTCAATGGGACTACTTGCATACTTAAAGTGCTTTGAGGGATCAAGGCCATGGTGCCTAAATGCCATTTTCATACAAGTATCCTATGCTTAAATCTTTGAAAATTCAGACCTGTATATGAAAGACTAGAATGGACATCATTTTTCCAAGATTTAAGAGGAGACTGCAGAATTTTGTGGCATTTGGCTTGCACGTCAGTGAAACAACAAGCATGGTCACACATCTGATATTCAGCTGTTTTCTACCACAAGATAATAGTTATATCACACACTATGTGGTGCGCCACAACAGAAAATGACGGGTACCCAGAAATCACCTACTACAGGACAGG